ATTATTATACCCAGCAAAACTTTCAACCACAATAGATGGAGAAAATAAGATATTCCATGATGAAGTCAAATTTAAACAGTATCTATCTACAAATCTGGCCCTACAGAAGATGCTAGAAGGAAAAATCCATGCCAATGCTGTTAACTACACACAGAAAATAATCTCATACCCAAGGAACAAAAAGGGACACTGTGTGTGTGTGTGTGTGTGTGTGTGTGTGTGTGTGTGTGTGTGTCTGTCTGTCTGTCTGTCTCTGTCTCTGTCTCTGTCTCTCTCTGTCTCTCTGTCTCTCTGTCTCTCTCTCTCTCTCTCTCACACACACACACACACACACACACAGACACACACACACACTCACACACACACACCACAACAAATGACAAGAATTAACAATTTTGGTCATTGATATTTCTGAATATCAATGGCCTCAATTACCCAATAAAAAGGCACAGACTAACAGAATGGATGTGAAAACAGGATCCATTCTTCTGCTGCATCCAAGAAAAATATCTCAACATCAAAGACAGACATTACCTTAGAGCAAAGGGTTAGAAAAGATATTCCAAGCAAATGGGCCTAAGAAGAAAGCTGGTATAGCCATTTTAACATCTAACAAAATAGACTTCAAACCAAAATTAATTTAAAGAGACAGAGAGAATCCCACTACAGATCCATCAAAGGGAAAATCCAACAAGATGACATTTCAATTTCAAGACAAAGGTGGTGTGTATTCACTTGTAAGTGGATATTAGCTGTTAAGCAGATGATACTCAAGCTACAACCACAGACCCAGAGAGGTTAGGTAAGGGAGGCTCTAGGAAGGGTTGCATGGATCCCCCTGGGAAGGGAAAATAGAATAAATGTTATAGATAAACTTGGGAGAGACAGACAGAGGAAGAGAGCGAGGGAAGAGACAGCTGGAATTGGGGAGAATTGAGACGCACTGGGGGCGTGGCCTAGTACAGTGGAAACTTCCTGGAATCTCTGAGGGTGCCCCTAGTGGGGACTTCTAGTAATACAGTAATACAGTCCAAACTGATCATCTTTTGTAGCCAGTGAAGACTTCCGGTGGTGGGATGCGCTGCATCTGGTTGCTTTGTTGATCCTGTGAGGATTCCTAAACAACCCAGGCTGATGCAAAGTCAGAAGGTCCATCTCTGAAAACTGGTATCAGGGTCCCATTGCCAAGGACAACATTCGCACAGCTCATTTATGCATCAAGCTGGTGCCTGCATGGACTTTCACCCCAATATTCCAGTCTCGGGGTGCAAGGAGGTACTCTTCAAGCCACAGAAAGAGAAACCTGGACACCAGCCACAAAACCCTTGACCTACAGTTTGTCCTGCCTGCAATATGTTCTGAGGCAATGGCGGTGCAGAATTTGTGGGAGTGCTCCACCAATATCCGATTAACTTTAGACCCCTGCCCTACACT